AAAAGCTATGGTACTTTATATTATCCTCAGTTTTCCCCACTTTTGCTGAATATGCATTCTGCAAACTCTGATGCTTGACTAGTGTAAACTTCATTATATATTTCATTCAAAGTTATAATTAAAGATCTATTATCTAAAAATTAAAGCAGTATCATTTATCCTGCAAAATTAATATAATTGTACATGATTTATTTAATTTCAAAACTTACAATGCTCACGTAATATGACCATATTTAAAATATAGTATTTTATATGCCTTATCCAAGTATATCTATATTAAGTGTAAATTGGTTATTCTTCCTCAAATATTGTAGTTAGAGGAAAATACTTGTGATAATGTACCTTTCAAAATGCATGTTTGCTTTAAAACATAGTTTATAATTATCTTAAAACATATTTCAGAAAATACTTTCTTCATGTAAAATACGTACATATTATATTTCATTCTACTGTCAAACACAACTAAATTCTACTGTGGGGCACTAACGCTTTAAAATATCTAAGTGCACATTGATATGTGATGTGGTTTGCCATGAAACATTGCTTCGAAGAAAGCTAAGACTTCAAAGCCCTTCTCAAAATAAAAATGACAAAATTCTTATTTGAAAAAGATCTCTACTTTTTGGCATTAATTATATTTTTGAAATCTGCATTTAAAAAGTTGCTAGTGTTTAGAAAGCATATTTATTCCTTATGTGTTACCTTTTGTGAGGAATAAAAAACTCAGCAACTTTAATTGAACGTCTTTCATAATTTAAGTCTAGGCAAAAGCTGACAATAATTCTATGAGTATTCTACTATTTCATGAAGACTTCATTAGGACTTTAATTCTAAATCATAATTCATTTGTATATTCATTGAGTATCCTGTAGTAAGATTGAATTGTCCCCTTCTGGGAATAGTTGAGAAAAGACCTTAATTTCTAAGATAAAAGAGGCTAGATTCACTATTTTTCTTGAAAGACGAGTAGCCCTTTTAATAATACCAAGACCACTTTTGAAGTATACAGTAATACTTATTTTTATTTATTTATTTTTTAAATGACTTAGAAGGCTTCATGTTTCTTTGAAACCTGTTAATCTTGTGTTAGGTGGATGTTGAGTATAAAAGAAATGTTAGAGACCATTATTAGCCTTAACTTTGTCTAGGTTTTTATCTGTGGCTCTCTGGATACCATCTCTAGGGCATGAACACAGGGAGTAATTTAGACAAACTAGTATTCTATGATTCTCTTCCAAAAGTATTGATTGGGACGATACTTAAGCAAGTATCACCATTTGCTTATAGGATAAATGTTCTTCAGATTGTTAATATCTTTTTGGTTTGATTTCTTTCATAAATTTCCTCAATGAATTCCATTTCGATTGATTAACTCCCGAAGTTATTTGATACGTTTTTCATGGTGTTAGTGTTCTTTTAGCTTAGACCTTTGATCATGAAGTGTGTGTATGTGTATTTGTGTACATATGTGTGTGCATCTGTCTTTATCCCTTCACAGCAACTAGCGTGGAGTAAGTTCTTTATAAATATTGTTGAATGAACATATATATCATATATAGAGAGAACTATGTATATGGTAAATATATGCTTCATCGTTTTGTGAGGTATGTTCAATGTCAATCAAATTATATTAAACAGTCTTCAAGACTGATAGCATTTCTGACTCTGATACTTTGATATCAGAAAAGAAATGCTACACAAGTGACAGGAGGCAAAGTGGATAATTTTTCAAAGTTAGTCAATAGTACTCCAGCAGAATGTAATAGATCTATTAACCTGTTAATAAAAAGAAATCCAATGGGATTTTTAAATGACTCAAAAGACAAGAGGGAATGTTATGGTCTGCTAGTGACAGCTGGCAAACTTGCTGTAAATGCTTTTAGGGACAAAATTGATAACATCCACAATTGGCTACAGTTCAGAGTACCCAATTCCAATGTGCTGTCAACCGTATATATTTATTATTGATCAACACGCCAGCTACATTCTTTTTGGACATTTTGATGTGGAAAAATTATTTAATTTTAGAGGCAGCACCCACATAGCTCTTTCCCAGACATATGATGAAAATATGGAAAAGGAATCAATTAATATGATGCCATTGGTAGAGTTAATGTTTTCATTAATCATCTCTTATAAATCTCAGGAAACTGCTTTGGAGTCAAAGAAAAACTGATTTTAGTAAAAATGAGGAAGCCATTTGAAAAGAATGTGCGTGCTCTTGTGCTGAGTACAGAGTGAATATGAACAAATACTATGTTGCTTTCCAAGTAACATCCATACATGTGCGTCACATATAAAGAGTCAGATGAATTCAGTGTAAATATTGATGTCCAGACCACAGAACCACCTTATGCTGTGTATTCGAACATTATTTCAAGCCTTAACGACTCCTTGAATTTCATAATATGCTAACAAACCAACCTAAACAAATAAAACAAGACTGTTCTCCAATGTGCATAGAAATTTGCCTCATTTACAAAAGGGGTCACACAATTTTTTCACTTGACAAATATTTGTTGGATACTTTGTATTGTTTTAGTTGAATGTGAAACAGAAAAATCGTGTTTTTATAGGCTTACCTTCTCTGGAGGGTGAAAAAACAAATAGTGAACAAGGAAGTATTTACTCAAATTGTCATAGATACTTTGGGGAAAAAAATAGAGCAGGAAAAAGAGGACAGGAAGGGTGAGTAACAGGGTGGCCAGGAAAAGCCTTGCTGAGAAGGTACCTGAGTAACAGCCTAATGCAAGTGAGGTAGTAAGTCATGAGGGTCAAGGGAAGGGCATTTTAGCAGAGGGAACATCTTCCTCCAATTTATTTTGAGTCTGATGAGAAAACTTAAAGGCCAGTGAAGATGCCAGTGTGGTTTGGCAAACTGAGCTGAGGGTGTTTAGTAGGACAGGATGCCAGAGGAGTAATGGGGTTGAAAGGCAAATTGTTAAGAGTCTTGTAGGCTGCTGTCAAGATAGTTGGCTTTTACTGTGTGTGAGACTGGGAAATCCTGGAAGGTTTTGCGCAGAGGAATGATTTTCTTATTTGCAATTGAAAGACTCATTCTGTGTGCTGTGCTGAGATCTGGTTGTAGGAGTCAGGGATAGAAGCAGGGCTACAATGATTGGATAATGGAGTGGTGTTCAAACTAGAATATGCCACCTCCGAGGCTGCCTGAAAATTTGGTAGGGACATAAGTCTTTAAAGCAGTGAATTTCCAGATCAACTAACTGCCTAACATTTAGCTGCCTGATAATGAATCTGAGGTCAAGGCATTGTGCTTACTCATCTTTCCCATCTCACATTTGACATCTTTCATTTTCAGAAAAAAGACTTTTTTCTCATTCTTTTCAGATTTTACCATGGTACATTTCTTCATAAAAATTTCTAGAGTAAAAAAAGTGAAGGAACAATTTCAAATACTTATATCTGACATCTTTACCATTTCTTCTCTTCTTCCATTGCCAAAAAAACCACCATTCCTGTGGGGGGTTCCCTTGAGAATAAAACCAAAATGAGATGGAGAAAAGTGCTTTGCCTCTTGGGGAGTGGTGGAAATGTTAGCTATCTTGATTGTGGTGGTGGTTTCATTGGTATATACATCTATCAAAATTCATCAAACTGTACAACTGAAATATGTGTAGTTTACTGTACAGGAATCATACCACAATAAAGGTGTTTAAAAAAGTGTTTGTTTCATCCTGTCACAGATTAATGGCAAGTCTCTGCTTTATCCATTCATTAAACTGTCTATTTATCTCTGAATATCATGGAAATTTAAATTATCATAGAAATCCATATTATCTGAATTTGGATTCAGAGAAGATTGTTTCCACATGGATCTTTATTAAAACAGTTGTTTAAATAGAAAAATCAAGTGGGACTTTTCTGATAGAAAATGTTTAATTGTGGGCACCTGGATTAATAATGAGAATTAATTTCTTAACTCCCTATTTTCCTTAAAATGAATTAACTAAATCTGCGGCTCTATGACTTAAGTATAAAAATATACTTAAAGTATATTTTAAAATATATTTTAAAAAATATTTTATACTTGAAATATAAAAGAAATATCTATGCTGAGATCCAGATGTAGAACCCAGGGACTGTGAAAAGAAATATCTTATATAAAAAATTATTTGGCCAAAGTCATTTAGAAAATAATTATATTTTGATTTTTTCTTTGCCCTTTCTAATTGTACCTGGTAGAACAAGGAGCCTCTAAGTGAAGGAGTAACAGGTATACTGAAAAGCTATCTGATGGATATTGATAATACTTTTTTTTGCAATATACTTTCATAAATTAGAAATCTAATGACTCCAATGAATAGACCAAAAAGAGTTGGAGTCTTTTGTGTTCAACAAAACCAAG